AGCCATCTTCCATCCCTGCAAACCAAAACGCATAAGGAATTACAGCTCTCAGCAGAATTGGTCACTGCCCCATCTGCTTGCATGCAATAAGGATGGGAGACTGATTCATCCCCAAAGTCTCCCCAAAGAGGTGACATGCTGTGCAACTACACTCCTCAGGTTGTGCTGAGACAACATAAACCACCCCCTGAGGCAAAGCAAAGTGCTGTGGAAAAAACGTTCAGCAGAGTACCCAACACCATTACAAGGACTCAGCGCCCACCCATGCCACTGAACTGTAGGCATGGGGTGAGCAAAAGCCTCCGTGGGCTCCTGATGTGGCTGATGGAGAGGGTGATGCACATCTTTGATGGGCTGAACTGGCTTCTTGAACCTCTTCTCTCTCTTCCCACAGATTTAGGAGACTGGTACCTAACAAGCAAGTAGGAAGAATCTGGCCTTGAGGGTCTCATATAACGACTCTGAAGTCAAGGGACACCTTTTCCTCTATTTAAGAGCCTCTAGATGAGGATGCTCAGAACTACAAAACACCTATAATCTATTACAAGGCACCCTAGTGCAAGCTTGTGCACTAGGAACTAGTTGCTAGAAATGAGTTGGTTGTTCATTGAAAAGTAGTATCATCAGCAATAAAGAAAAAACTGAAACAGATGAGCTGGTTTAAGTTTAGCAGCTCCTCATTTTAATTAGCAGATATTTATTTATCTCAACTTTCCCCTTAACCTCAATTTGTTTGTAGGAAGAAAGGAAAAGTAATTCTGGTGCATAAACACTGATATTTAGTTACATAAAATATTCTGCAAGCATGCGCATTACAAATAAACTCAACCTTAAATCTGTGTGTTATGACTAATTTTAGGACTTGAGTTTTATCCAAAAAAAGAGCATGGAAAATCTTGACACACACACCTCTGTCTCCAAACAGACAAACTAGAAAGGGCAAAAGAAGGCAAACCAGTAGCTTCTACAAGCTGGGGGTAGGAGATTGAGGGGAGGGGGGGATTTAAGTGACATGACAAAAGGATTTGTTACAAAAAGAAAAAAAAATATAAATTTTTAAAGGTGTGTTTTCCTGGAAAAATGGTCATTTTGTGTATATCAGAAAAAAAATTTTTAAAGGTGTGTTTTCCTGGAAAAATGGTCATTTTGTGTATATCCCATATCCCATAGTTTGTGTTAAAAATATTCTCTATTGAGACAAAGAAACAAGAGGGGTACATTAATTAGAGAAAGCTAAAGTTAAGGATTTAATATTTGCTTTTTTTAACAAAGAGAATGCTAACAGAGCACTTAGAACAGGGGGGATTTAAGTGACATGACAAAAGGATTTGTTACAAAAAGAAAAAAAAATATAAATTTTTAAAGGTGTGTTTTCCTGGAAAAATGGTCATTTTGTGTATATCCCATCTACATAAGTTTGTGTTAAAAATATTCTCTATTGAGACAAAGAAACAAGAGGGGTACATTAATTAGAGAAAGCTAAAGTTAAGGATTTAATATTTGCTTTTTTTAACAAAGAGAATGCTAACAGAGCACTTAGAACATAAAGGAGAAAAAATAAGTAATTCTAAGAAAGGCTGGATTATCTTTTTTAAGATGGAAGGGGGAAAAAGGCAGAGACACATGTTTCTTTTTATTTATAAGGACTATTGCTGGAAAGCTAACCACCCACCCCACCCCGCCCGACTCCAAACCAGTGCAGGCAAGGCCAGAGATGTCTTACTTCACTGAGCTGTGTTGCTGGGAGACTAGGTTAGGCAAACACAAAGAAAGAAGCCAGAAGATTAAGCGAGATGACGACTATTACCATATTTCACAGTCAAATCAGATGACACTTCAATCCAGGAGAGCTATAAATCCAAATGATTTTTCAAAATGAATTTGAAGACTCCTTAGAGAAAACACTGTTTGCCCTAAATTACCCAGGACACGAAAATATATAGTGTCTCCAAAGCTGTTAAAGCTGTAGCCCCTGAGATTTCTTTTTTCATTACTGTCTTCCCCAGAAGTCTTGATACTAGATACAAAACATGCCTTTGGTGAAGAATGAGATACTGAGTGGGCCTAAAGGATTATAAAGGATACCAAAACACCAAACATTGTAAGGAAAAAAAAAAAGAAAAAAAGAAAGAAAAAGACCCCAAAACATGCCACTCTTCTTCCTCACACAAAATTACACCAAGATCATAGAATCACAGAATATCTTAAGTTGAATGGGACCCATAAGGATCATCGAGTCCAACTCCCTGCTCCTCACAGGACCACCTAAAACTAAACCATATGACTAAGGGCATCGTCCAGACGCTCCTTGAACTCTGACAGGCTTGGTGCTGTGACCGCTTCCCTGGGGAGCCTGTTCCAGTGACCTACCACCCTCTCAGTGAAGAACCTTTTCCTAACTTCCAACCTGAACTTCCCCTGGCGCAGCTTCATTCCATTCCCTCGTGTCCTATCGCTGGTCACCAGAGAGAGATCAGCACCTCTCCCTCTGCTGTCCCCCTTGAGGAAGTTGTAGCTTGCGATGTGGTCACCCCTCAGCCTTCTCTTCTCCAAGCTGAACAAGCCAAGTGACCGCAGCTGCTCCTCATTAAGTCTTGCCCTTAAGACCTTTCACCATCTTGGTCACCCTCCTCTGGACACATTCTAATAGTTTGATGTCCTTCTTATATTGAGGCACCCAAAACTGCACACAGTACTCAAGGTGGGGCCACACCAGTGCAGAGTGGGACAATCACCTCCCTCGACTGGCTAGCTATGCTGTGCTTGATGCACCCCAGGACACAGTTGGCCCTTTTGGCTGCCAGGGCACACTGTTGACTCATATTCAATGTGCCATCAACCCAAACACGCAGATCTCTTTCTACGGGGCTGCTCTCCAGCCTCTCATCTCCCAGTTTGTACGTATAACCAGGATTACCCCGTCCCAGGTGGAGAATCCAGCACTTGCTCTTGTTAAATTTCATACGGTTGGTGATTGCCCAGCTCTCTGGTCTATCCAGATCTCTAGACGAATGTCGTATTTCATGATTCAGTGATCAGTAGTAACATTATAGCCAGAGTTTTCTTAATTTTCTTTTTCCCATAATGGAGGCTACAGTGCAGGAAATTTGGGTCTTTAGGCTGAGCCTTATATCCTGTCTTGAACAGTAGGTGACTGTCATGACTGCTGGGATCCTCAACTCATCATCTTTGTACGCCTCATTATTCCTCAGCTATCCTGATGCCTGCATGACAGCTTTACTTCTGGCCAGGAGCAAGGCAAAGCTTCTAAGCAACAGCAAGAACCTTTTCAAACGGCAAGCTGGTACCTCACACAGCCACCCCCTGGACTGAGACCTTCCGTCAAAGTAGTCTTTTTAATTGCATTCTTAGTCAAAAGAAACTTAGATTGACATAACACACTGGACTGTCCAGTCCAACGCGAACACGTCTTTGAAGTGCTCTGACTACTCCAGTAGCTGCCTGGCAGGTACCACAGCAAGGAAGACCTGATGAAGCTTTCAGGAGGCTTGCGTTGGACTGCCTTGGAGAACAACAACCAACACTGGTAACATGGACAACCTGCGAAATTAAAATCCTCAGGAAAATGGAAAATCAGCATTTTAACAGAGAATAACGGGATTTGCAGGTTAAGAAAAATGATGCCATTTCAGTCAGCAGGAGAACTCAAGACCTTCAGAAGGACAACTTTACCCACAATCTTCCTCATAGCTAGTTCTTGTTCAAAAAATTTACTTTTCCAGAGGTTAAGAATCAGCAGAGGAACTGTATCAGACGTTATCACTTAGTTCCAACAAAGCAGCTGAACAATTGTCGTGGTTTAACCTCAGCCGGCAACTAAGCCCCACACAGCCCCTCACTCACTCCCCCCCAGTGGGATGGGGGAGAGAATCGGAAGGGTAAAAGTGAGAAAACTCGTGGGTTGAGAAAAAGACAGTTTAATAGGTAAAGCAAAAGCCGGGCACACAAGCAAAGCAAAGCAAAACAAGGAATTCATTCACTGCTTGCCATTGGCAGGCAGGTGTTCAGCCATCTCCAGGAAAGCAGGGCTCCACCACGCATAACGGTTACTTGGGAAGACAAACGCCATCACTCCAAACGTCCCCCCCTTCCTTCTTCTTCCCCCAGCTTTATATACTGAGCATGACGTCCCATGGTATGGAATATCCCTTTGGTCAGTTTGGGTCAGCTGTCCTGGCTGTGCCCCCTCCCAGCTTCTTGTGCACCTCCAGCCTTCTCAGTTGGTAGAGCATGGGAAGCTGAAAAGTCCTTGGCTAGTGTAAGCACCACTTAGCAACAACTAAAACATCGGTGCGTTATCAACATTGTTCTCACCCTAAATCCAAACCACAGCACTGTACCAGCTACTAGGAAGGAAATTAACTCTATCCCTGCCGAAACCAGGACAACCATAAATGGCAAGACCTGTGTGTAAAACACACTTGTGAAGTTACAGAAATAGGGATTTATGAACATGCTTTGTTTCTTATACCAGTATCAGAATCAAGGTACAACTGTGAAGACAGCTTTTCCACATGACTTGGAAACATATAGGGTTATGATCAGCAATGAAAAAAATAAAATACACTTCAATATGACAGAAAACCAAAAATGTTATCATAAGAAATTAAAACAATAACACAATTACATTTGAATCAATTCAGCATGTCACCTCAAAGACAAACTACAGCAAAAAACCAAGCTGTACTAATAAGTACTAACGAAGTACTAATACTGAATCTTGCTAAATTTTTAATGCCTTGTATCATCATCTTGTGAAGCAACTGTTATCTAACATTCTTACTTCTGCTAAAAAAAAATCACAGAAACAAAATTATTAATAGCTGATGTGATATTGTTCTGATGCGTTATACCATTTCCAAATAAAGGACATTTTATTTCCAAACAGAGGAAAATAAGAAGCAATTGAGAGGATTCTTGATTTTCTTAGTAACAGTCTATCCACAGCTTTCAAGACCAGTATTATAATGGTTCCATACCGTGAAGCTGTTGTTGACATTTTTTGTGCTCGATTCAGCTACGCTGGCATCTGACAGGTCAACTTCATCAAATATTAGAGACTGTGAATGGAAAAGAACATAAAAACATTAAATGTAGTCTGAGTCCACTTTCAGATATGCTTACAGTCTGTGTTTTCATTTCCTTGTGTCCATTCCAATTGGAAAATAAAAATAGAGAAAAAAAGTGGTGAAAAAATAAGAGAACACTGATGATGTGACAAAACTTCCTATTTGACCCCTAAACACAGTCCTATTTGCTATCTAAGTGGTACATGAGATCATAAAAAAGTGGCTCCAAAAAATATATATTGCTTTAAAATCTCTTTTAAAGATTTTTTTTTTTAAATAGATGCAGCTTTGGGGTGTCTACTGTGTAGCATAAATGTGGTGTCAGAAGAAAAAGATTCACACTTAGTGAAATACAAATTAATTAATCAGTTTTAGGATGGAACTCTAAATTCATGAAGGGGAATCTATGATACGGTATCCATACAAGAAAACGGAGCTCAAGGGCCTGAAGAGATCCCTTCCACTCCTTTGTTTGATGTTTGTTTGATGTTCCAGAAAGAGAAATGTATGTCTTCTTTAAACACCCCAGCCTCTGGCAAGGGATTCATTAGGTTCTGTGAAACTCATGATGGGTTTTGAAGCACAGAAGGGAAGACCAACAAAAATGCCTCCCCCTTTTTTTAGCCATACCATGTTCTTCCTCTTCCATGCCACGGGAAGGAGAATCGATGCTGGGGGAGTTTCAGCATGTCTGGATTCAATGTTACAGAGTATTTGTACAGTTGCCTACTCATTACACCTCCTTTTCTCATCTTTATGACACAGATGATGGTGCCATTCTCAGAGCTCTTATCTGCCATGTTTATTAAGTCTTTACATAAACTGTTCGTGGTAGCACCATGTGCAGAGAAGTGTGACGACAGAGGTACTTCAGTGCTGCGCTCACTGGAGAGAGGATGTTTTCCTTGATTCATCACAGCCACACAACTGTGCACCATGCAATTACAGTCATACAGTTCTAGAAAGAGAGGTCTCCATGCCTTAGTAACAGTTTTATTGAGAAGACCAGGCTATGGAAGATGACAGAAACCTGAAGCGCCTCACCTACAGCTCCCATGAGTCACTGCAACCCCACAGGGTAAAGAAAAGTAATGCCCACCGCTATGGAGCAGCACAATCTGAGCCAGCCCAACAAGCCAAAATGCTCTCAGTCCTGACCCTGAGGGGGAGGGAGGAAATGCCTTTCGGAAAGAAGACAAGTATTCCCCTCTGCCCACCCCCAATTTTCCCACCAAAAATTTCAATTGATGGGAAACAGCTTCTTCCCTTATATATCAGTTTTGGCAGAAAATCTTCCTATCTTGATTTCACATAACCATTTCCACCTCTTTAACGGCAATATGGGCATCAGAGTAGAAGAGTTTTAATGGAATTCAGTTTGAGGGATAACTTCTGAGCATTATCCAATTTTTTTTTTTTTTTAAATGTTAGATTTGAAAGCCTAAGAGCCACCCCCCAAAACCACCACACAACTCCTTAAGATGAATTTATTATTTGTCTGAATAGTCAAAAAGGTTAAAGTAACTGTCATAAACTTCATTAAAAAAAAACCAAGAGAAATCACCAATCTTCCTTAGTTAAAGTTAATTTAACACACTACATCTTATATACAGCAGTTTTTTAATAAAACAATCACTAACAAATCATTAAATAATTATTATTGCACTTATAAATCTAAACAAGATTGGAGTTACAAGTATATGGCATTAGACACTAATAGCATAGAATTACCTTTGAATCCTTAGCATAGTAAAGGGTACGACCTCGAAGTTTGAAATAACGCTTTTTCCACCTCTGAAAAGAACTGGTTTGCTTCAGTAGTAATCCTTCTTTTATACTGGTCTGAAAAATATTAAAACACAGGAGACAAGGTAAATACGTATCTAAATAGCTACGCATATAGATGAAAGTTACGCTTTTTAACATTTACGTTACACCTTATATTAAATTCACACACTGTGAATTTAAATTTGTATCTATTCACATTAAATTGAGACTAATTCTCTGGACAACCAGACTTTGCATTGCTATCTTTTAAACAATGATGGCAAAATGCTAATTTTACATGTAAACCGAAAAGGCAGTTGAGAGGCATATAATTATTGTGAAGATAAACACAAAATAATTCAACTGTCTGGATAGCTGCAAACCCACAAATATTAAAGTAAGCAGCAACTGATGGTGGCAAAATTCAGAAAAAAAATGCTAAAAACCATCTACACAAGGTCATTTCCAATTCCAAATTTGATTATGTGAGGAGAAAAACCATTTCCACATAGGCACTAATTCAACAAGGTACTTAAACGTGTGTCTGATTCAAGCACATGAATTATGCCTTTAAAATAGAGGGAATGATCCAGTATGATGCAAGTCATGCATGACTTCAAGTGCGTTGCTGAACTGAAGCCTTCAGCATGAAATCAGCTTACCATTAGGAATAATTATTACATGGAAAGTGTGAGAACAGTAACAGCTAGGGATATTTTTACCAGGCAAATATTTTTAGTCAAAACCCGATCCAAACCTTTCCACTGCAGACTGAACCCTGCCTACATAAAGCCCATTTTTTGAAATGAGTAAGACACAAATTAGTATATTTTAAACGTATATGCTGCTTTTGCTAGCGTGTGTGGGATTCAGATGAAATGACGTGACACAGCATACTAATTGTATGAGTCTCGAAACTGATTTTCTTTAGCTTTGAAGCACACAAAGGGTATGAGAAAAAGCAAGTGCATTTGGATATTGTATTCCAAAATGGTCTCTAATATTTCCAGAATATTTCCAATTTGTAGTGTGATAATGTGATGCGAATCTTATAATACAATTTCTAGACAATGTGATATAACCATCATTTGAAGTTATTCTAGACCTTTTCGAGACTTAACCAAGACCTGACCTAAAGTTCATAAACATCTTCTTCTGTTATCAGACATCAAATTCTCTTTAACTTTAATGCAAGTAATAAAAATACAGAAAAAGCAGAAAGCACTTTAGAGTTCCTACCACTTCCTTGAAATGAGAAATATCGCTCTTACATACATACATCGCACCCTTTATTTAGATGCTCCTAACGTCATGAACTAAGAACACAGTCCAACAATCACAAAGCAATTGAATTAATGCTCTCAAAAAAGCAACCCTCTCAGATGAAACGTCACAGCTGAAAGTTTGGCTTTATCTCACTTTACTTCACGTGCCAACAACCTGGACTGACACATTCGGTCAGCCCTCCTGCTCTAGCTAAGGGGTAGCAATTCCCAGCTGAAAGTGTCTGCTCACCACACACCATTTTAAGATTGCCTGCAATTTTCTGACCAGACCCTAAGATAAGCTAGTTTTACACGTTATAAATAGATTTAATCAGTTAGCAAATACAAGAACTTATTCAAAGCTGTTTGTTGTAGCTGTGCAGCACTTCTCTTTCGTATCGCTCTCTGAGATTTTGGACGCTCATCACATGGGATGGGAGTAGATGACTTTTGTGTTTATCAAGGGTCGGAAGATGTAAGACCAGAGAAATTCAGTTCCAAGGAAACAGTACTCCACACACACGGCAGGCATTGACTTACTGGAAAAATTTCCAAAATGGAAGGAAATCCACATTCCTTAAAATGCACTATGTGTACTACGAGACACAGAACAACGTTATACTGAATATTTTCAGGAATTTTAAAATCTGTTCAAAGAACAGATATCTCCCTAAACCTTGAGCCATTACTCATTAAAGAATTAATTCACTCTTTCATGTCATTTTTATGCCTACATAAGCCATTTCCCCCTATTTCTACTCACACCTTAAAACACCAGTATCCCTAAAATCAAATCAAAAACTTCAAAATTAGACCTATTTTGCAAATCAGCCATTTAAAATTAACTCCCTAAAGTTGGCAGTAAATAACCATGCAGGCTCTACAGAATGTATTTTTGTATCATCAAAATTATTAAAAAAATACTAGACTGGTAAACATTTACCCAAGAACTGTAAGCACTTCATGAAGTATACATGTGAAGTTTACGTTTTACCACTAATAGATATACTGGGCTGAGATCTGAGCATCTTAAATAGACAATTCCACGGCTGCAGACATCAAAATTGAGCATAAAGCTTTGGCCTGATATCCTTCATTAGCTTCAGTTAGCCTTTAAAATGTGCAAAAAACTTCCAGCTGCCAACTGAGTCATTAGGTAATCTGCTAATAATGCTTTCCTGAATCTACACACAAGTCACAGGACTTACAGTAATACAAGATTGGAAGGGACCTCTCAGGTTGTTGAATTTGGGTCCAGATTATTGCCTACAACCAGGTCACGTAAAGTTTTTCAAAAGCATTGATCAGGCTATAGCTACACCTTAAGAAAGTGATCAGTACCTTTCCCTCTCCCAACAGCAATTCAGACAGTGCTCCAAGATCTCGCTGTTCTCAGAAACCTTCTTCTAATTAATCTCAGCTGGACGTTAAATCTGAAGCATAAGCAATAATCACTGCCAGTTATATTAACTACTTTCCTACTGTAATTTAGGAGAAACAAGTGCACATCCCACAATCCCACGCTACCTCTCACTTTTACAGAATCACCTCTCATCTGCTTGCCAAAACGTCTGACTTCCCCATACAGCATCTTGTATCATCTAGTAATACAACATCCCTCCAAAAGTATGAGACTACAATAAGAAGAGAAGAGAAGAGAAGAAAAGAGAAGAGAAGAGAAGAAAAGAGAAGAGAAGAGAAGAAAAGAGAAGAGAAGAGAAGAAAAGAGAAGAGAAGAGAAGAAAAGAGAAGAGAAGAGAAGAAAAGAGAAGAGAAGAGAAGAAAAGAGAAGAGAAGAGAAGAAAAGAGAAGAGAAGAGAAGAAAAGAGAAGAGAAGAGAAGAAAAGAGAAGAGAAGAGAAGAAAAGAGAAGAGAAGAGAAGAAAAGAGAAGAGAAGAGAAGAAAAGAGAAGAGAAGAGAAGAAAAGAGAAGAGAAGAGAAGAAAAGAGAAGAGAAGAGAAGAAAAGAGAAGAGAAGAGAAGAAAAGAGAAGAGAAGAGAAGAAAAGAGAAGAGAAGAGAAGAAAAGAGAAGAGAAGAGAAGAAAAGAGAAGAGAAGAGAAGAAAAGAGAAGAGAAGAGAAGAAAAGAGAAGAGAAGAGAAGAAAAGAGAAGAGAAGAGAAGAAAAGAGAAGAGAAGAGAAGAAAAGAGAAGAGAAGAGAAGAAAAGAGAAGAGAAGAGAAGAAAAGAGAAGAGAAGAGAAGAAAAGAGAAGAGAAGAGAAGAAAAGAGAAGAGAAGAGAAGAAAAGAGAAGAGAAGAGAAGAAAAGAGAAGAGAAGAGAAGAAAAGAGAAGAGAAGAGAAGAAAAGAGAAGAGAAGAGAAGAAAAGAGAAGAGAAGAGAAGAAAAGAGAAGAGAAGAGAAGAAAAGAGAAGAGAAGAGAAGAAAAGAGAAGAGAAGAGAAGAAAAGAGAAGAGAAGAGAAGAAAAGAGAAGAGAAGAGAAGAAAAGAGAAGAGAAGAGAAGAAAAGAGAAGAGAAGAGAAGAAAAGAGAAGAGAAGAGAAGAAAAGAGAAGAGAAGAGAAGAAAAGAGAAGAGAAGAGAAGAAAAGAGAAGAGAAGAGAAGAAAAGAGAAGAGAAGAGAAGAAAAGAGAAGAGAAGAGAAGAAAAGAGAAGAGAAGAGAAGAAAAGAGAAGAGAAGAGAAGAAAAGAGAAGAGAAGAGAAGAAAAGAGAAGAGAAGAGAAGAAAAGAGAAGAGAAGAGAAGAAAAGAGAAGAGAAGAGAAGAAAAGAGAAGAGAAGAGAAGAAAAGAGAAGAGAAGAGAAGAAAAGAGAAGAGAAGAGAAGAAAAGAGAAGAGAAGAGAAGAAAAGAGAAGAGAAGAGAAGAAAAGAGAAGAGAAGAGAAGAAAAGAGAAGAGAAGAGAAGAAAAGAGAAGAGAAGAGAAGAAAAGAGAAGAGAAGAGAAGAAAAGAGAAGAGAAGAGAAGAAAAGAGAAGAGAAGAGAAGAAAAGAGAAGAGAAGAGAAGAAAAGAGAAGAGAAGAGAAGAAAAGAGAAGAGAAGAGAAGAAAAGAGAAGAGAAGAGAAGAAAAGAGAAGAGAAGAGAAGAAAAGAGAAGAGAAGAGAAGAAAAGAGAAGAGAAGAGAAGAAAAGAGAAGAGAAGAGAAGAAAAGAGAAGAGAAGAGAAGAAAAGAGAAGAGAAGAGAAGAAAAGAGAAGAGAAGAGAAGAAAAGAGAAGAGAAGAGAAGAAAAGAGAAGAGAAGAGAAGAAAAGAGAAGAGAAGAGAAGAAAAGAGAAGAGAAGAGAAGAAAAGAGAAGAGAAGAGAAGAAAAGAGAAGAGAAGAGAAGAAAAGAGAAGAGAAGAGAAGAAAAGAGAAGAGAAGAGAAGAAAAGAGAAGAGAAGAGAAGAAAAGAGAAGAGAAGAGAAGAAAAGAGAAGAGAAGAGAAGAAAAGAGAAGAGAAGAGAAGAAAAGAGAAGAGAAGAGAAGAAAAGAGAAGAGAAGAGAAGAGAAGAGAATCACTATTATAGAATCACTAACAATCCTGACTACTCTAGCCATTAACAATTAGGAAAATAATTCACAATATTACAATCACAACGCCACAGTGCTCCACAGTGGTATATTTTCCTGAAGAACTCTGATTATAAAAATCATAGCCACATTTCATAAAATTAAGGTGTGTACATATGTGTTCAATTATCCAAGAATCTTGAATACAACCCTACATCGCCACAATCTAAATGACAAAAATAAATGGGATTTGTGGGTATTTTGATCATGAAAAAATGAGAAGCATCTCCTTTTATATCAGCAGAATTTTAAATATTCAGTATATAACACTTGAAAATTCAAAAC